CGCTGCTGTTGCAAGACCCTCTTTGCCCCCCTGTCCCCCATGGCTAGTGTCACAAATATTAATGCCACACTTGCACATGCTGGGCTCAGAATGGCCCCTTTTAATTAAAATATGGATCTATTTTTTCAAATGCATTTTCACATTTCTGCATGGGGAGAAGTGCTTCTCCTGCCGAGTGCAATTTCAGATTGGGCAAAATAGGTGCAGATTTCATTCGAATCTCTTTGAAGTTTCAGAATGTCCTTAAACCCTAGGATGATTTTTTGCTGCTTTTATATTCTCAATGGTTTCCTGGACATTAGGGAAGAGCTTTCATGTATTCACATCTTTGGGATTCTGAAACATTATTGGATAAATATTAAAGAGAACTAAATTGAATCAAAGTTAAAATGAATCAAAATTGGCCCTAAATAAAATTTAAAAAGCAACACTTAAAATATATTGTTATTAACCACCACTTTTGGGGACGTTATAGGCTAAATGTGATTCTCATTCCAATGAATCAAGGGTTTCTTATGGGGGAAAAAAATACCCTCTCCTTATATGTATCAGTGTGTCCACATGGAAATAAAGCTCAGAATTTATCTCTTTAGATAGCTAGGAAGAGATATCAAGAAAGGAACTTTCTCTGGGCTAAGTTTCCCAAACTTTTGGAACGGATCACGGCCTCCTCTGTGTCCTGCAACACATTTTCAGGCCTCTTTTTTTGGCATTTATATGATACTTTATTGGCATTATGATCGTATTTTATATTGTTTTGTCATGCACACACCTGCCTCTCTCCCTCGGTTATTAAACTGCATGAGGACAGAGATAATGCTGGGTGTGGGTATCTCACAGTGCCTCCTCATTGCCCCTTTAGACTCTTCATCATTTTGTCCCTTGACCTAATCTAAGTTTCTTGTGATTTGGCTGGGGTAGGGCAGCTTACAATGACCTATTCTGCAACTAAATAGATGAGACAGGGATTTGGAAGGAAGGAATCATGTTGATAACCAATTCTAATCTTGTTTTCACTAGTGTACAGAGACTCAAGAGAGATTCATAGCTTCCTGCTCCTTGCACTGCCCACAGTTTCCTTGTATTGGTCAATGTTTTCATACTCAAATGCTTGTCTACTTAAATTTTTAGGCAAGTTCTTTGCATTAATATTTGGATCTTGAGAGTATAAGTTGATTATAGATTTTTAGTCTTGCTATCTATCATTAATTTAGAAAAATTCACCCAAAACAGAGTAGTGAAGGGATTGCAGGGCTTGCCTGGGGCTTTCTAGAATTTATACTGCAAAGTTTGGAAAAGAACTCTGAATTTCATCTCTTTTTATCAACTTAGTTACCCCAATGAAATGACTTGCTGACAGTGACCAGATCTGAGAAGGGGCAATCATGGCCTATATCACAGACTCCCAAATCACGGCCTGCCAGCTACGTGATGGAGCGGTCTTGCTCCCACAAGGACTCAGCCACTGCAATGAGCCCAAGGCCCCCATGGGCACTGTTACCTTGACTTAATTGTGTTGTTTGGTTTTGTTTGTCCTTACCGAACTTGAACTCTGTTTGCAAAGTCTGCCAAATCTGCTTTCTCTAAATATCTTTCTTTGTATTCCTCAATGGCTCAGCTGGAGTTAGCCATCCCTTTGTCCCGATTTTAAGCACTTTGAGAAGAGTGGGGGTTCCGTCTTGGTGAGGGTGCCAACATTTCAAAGACATGAGCACTCTTGCAGATCCCCCTTGATTTGGAAACTTAACACTTTACTTTTGCCATTCGACCTTCAAGGAGCTTGACTGACAGGAAGTACTTTTATTTTTAGTTTAGTTTAGTTTTATTTTATTTTATTTTTATCACTAACCCCCAGGTGCCAGCACAGTTTCACTGCATGTGAAACGCATCAGGGTTCGCCTGCCCCACCCCACCTGCGTCTACCTGGCAGTGATGTTTGGTGGCGGGGACAGTGGGCACCCAGCAGCGATCAGCAGACCTCTGAACGCGAAAGAGAGGGCATAAGGCAGGAAAGGGGCCGTGCACCTGACATGCGGGGCGGGGCCGCCCGAAGGTGGGGCGCGATCCGTGCGTGCGGGGCCCCGGCAGCAACTTGCTCAAGCTGTTGTTTCACAGCTACTCACAACAGTCAACTTCAACACATTTTCACACTGTTTGGCTCAAGCTCCTGGCAGCGTTCCTAAACACTCTGAGGAAATAATTCCACAAAGTGGCATAAATTAATGTGACTAATTAACATGATGTTAATTATTTGTAAATTGTATGTTTGGATACACATTACTTGAGAGGCATATGTTACATTCAGTGTTTACCGAAACAAGTGACTGGTAATAGCTCCTCCTGAGTGTTCCCTTCACGACAGTCAGCAAATGGAGGCTCCTCTAAAAATAAAAACCGTGTCCTCGGGGGAGCTGCGGGAAGGATTGAATATAATCCAGTGCCACTGAAGGAGCCCCCTTCCCTTGAAAAGTGGGAGTTCCTGATACTTCCTGTTTCACACCTGCTGTATTGTGGATATGGCTTCTTTAAAGCTGTTTCTTCTTTCCCTGTGCCCGCAGACAGGTGGAGGCTGGGGACACTCCTGAGGTGTCCAGCGTCTCAGCATCTCCTTCCTGATCTGTGTCTCTGCAGACTGGCCCCACCCTCATCCCCCAAGGCAGGGCAGAAGGCTCTGTCAGGTCGAGGGCAGTTAAAAAATACATCAGCCTGGCCGTATCCTGTGTTCAGAACTGTTCAGGGTTTCCCATTCAGCAACAAAGCATCCTCCATCCTCTTTGGACTCACACTTGACATTCTAGTCCTTGTTCCTGGAATAAGCCAATCTGTTTAAGTGGCTTTTAAGTTCTGAAGAAGGTGCATTAATTTCAGGTGCTTTGCGTATGTGTTGCTAACATGCAAAATAAATTGCTTTTTTTACTTGAAAAAAGAAAGCACAGCCTTGGTAGCATTCTTTGGATATTATGGCTAATGAGGTTTTTCGAGGAGCAAGTGTCTTAATGAGATTTTTTGACTCTGGCGTGCCTTCCCCAGCAAAGTAAAATCATGTGTTTTGCTGATATTCTTTGGTCAGGATTGAGTGACCAAGTCCATTGGGGGAATAATCTGGATCCCTTGGCAAAGGGAAAGAGAACACAAGGCCACGGTGGGATCTGGTTATGGCAAAGCCAAGGGAAGACCACATCCCTGTTCTAAATCCCATTACTTGGGGCAAATATCTTCAGCTTTCATGTTGTATTATAGGTCTAGGCATTTTTTGAAAAGTCAGTCGGAAAACAACCCCATGCTCCAAGGGGGCCAGCTGAGGGAGTAAAGCTGCTCAGTGTGGCCATCCTGTGTTAACTCCGAAACAGACGAAACTCCTCCCCAGACCCTTGTTCTCAGGGGAAATACTGACTGGAATTTGCCTTCTGGAGGGGCATGTGAAAACAACTATGGAAAGTCGAAAGCATTTTAATTTATTCATGGGCACTAATGACTTAAGTAAAAGCAAAGAATTGTACTTAAAATACACACTTGATTAGCCCAACGGTGGAGTTACAACGAAGTCCTTGTGAGTCCTGTCTCCCTTAGTTGCCGTCACATCTGACCCTCACCTTATCTGTTATGACCACACGCGTCAGACACACATGAATGAATGACTGATTGCTGAAGCAGAACTGAACACAAAATGCAGATCCTCCTCAAACCCGCATCACACAGTCATTCCCCAAACTATGTAAAACATAGAAAAATCCTCCCAAAGTCTCCAGGCAAAAGTTGATTTTATTTCAGCTGTAGTGACAAAATGAATGTAAGACACTCTGGGGATGAAGGGACACAGGAAGAAAGTGGTAGAAAGGTTGGCAAAAACTGAATTGCTTGTGAATGTGATAACATTCGGGGAATGAAGAGAGTATTATTCTAGAAGGGCTTTTACATTTTGGGTTGGGAAGTAGAACCTGAACTTGAGAGGGAAGTGTTGTCTCTTCTAGGAGAAAGGAGAGTGAGCATTTATATGACAATACTGTGGGAGCACAGGAATGAAAGTATCAGGATGAGTCACATTTGAGATGGCTCTGATAATCTTGAGGGTGTCGTTCAATGTGTTCACTTGAAGAGATGTCACAATCCAGTTGAAGTTACCAACTGTTGCTACACATTGCGGGACTGGTATTTTAAAACACAGACACAAATCTGTTTCAAGTATTAAATGGTGTAAGTTGAGTTCCAATGCATATTGTTTTTAAAGTGTACAAATGACTATGGGAAAGAAATGAGACAATTGTTCTCCCTTTGAACATCTATCTTTAGAGAAATTGTCCTGAATTTAGATTCTTTGTAATCTCAACACACAACCTGAACCTCAATGCAACCAGTGAACCCTCAAGGAATGAAAGAATTTGCTGGATGGATGAAAGAATTACAATAAGCAAACTGACAAGACAAGGAGAATGTGTATAATAATTGTAGCAAATGCGCTATTTAGAATTTACTGTGTTACTGGCCCAGTTCCAAGTACTTTGCATGTATTAACTCACTGAGTGCTCACATCGCTCTCAAGTTCTGTCATTATCTCCATTTTACAGATGAAGAAACCTGGCACAGAGAGGTCAATGAACTTGCCCAGGGTCACACAGCTTGGAAGTGGTGGTACCGGGATTAGCAGTTAGGCATGTGGGTTCCAGGCACTGTGCGTCTAACCACTCCTTTGCTTGATTAAATAGCAGAAAAGCTTTCTTTCAAGGGGAGCATGCTTTCTTCTGTGTTAATGAGCAATGTTGAAAAGATCCAGGACATGGGCCACAGTTGGGGGCAGAAATGGGAGACAACTCCCCAGCACTACCACCACCAGCACAAGACCTCTACAGGGTAAAGGGAAAGAATGAATATTCTTTAAAACAGATTGTTTCCTCTGTGACAGTCACCAGCTTTATAAATTCTTTTTTTTTTTTTTTTAAAGATTTTATTTATTTATTTGACAGAGAGAGACACAGTGAGAGAGGGAACACAAGCAGGGGGAGTGGGAGAGGGAGAAGCAGGCTTCCCGCGGAGCAGGGAGCCCGATGCGGGGCTCGATCCCAGGACCCTGGGATCATGACCTGAGCCGAAGGCAGACGCCCAATGACTGAGCCACCCAGGCACCCCAGCTTTATAAATTCTTTAACATATTGTTCCAAACAGCCTGCACTTCTGAGGTAATTGATAGCATGCCTTTCATTATTAGTTTAATTTTCAGTAATTTGTGCTAGTCTCTAAGTTCTGATAATAATAATAATGAATTAATATTGATTCCCTGTTTTCTATATGCTTCTATATCTGAAGCGCTTTGTCTAGACTTGTGCAGTAGGCACAATTATCGGCATCCCATTTTACAGATGAGGAACAGAGGCATGGAGCTTAAGAGCTGTGAGTGGTAGATCCGGGATCCAGGCAGTCTGGATCTACAGCAGCTCCCATGGTTCCTGGTAGGTCTGAATGCACACCTAATGAAGGAAGCATAAAGAAAAACATCCTTTAGACTAACTTACTCTACCCAGATGTAGAAGATAGGTTATGGTTTTGCAGTTCTTTGTATACGAGAAATCTGTTCAACTTTCTTTCTTTCTTTTTAAACCTATGCCAATCTGCCTGTGTGTTTAGGAATCGAAGGAAAGTGAAAAGTTTATAACACATTGGAGCAATTAGACTTTGGTCATATATTTTATAGGGAACATTTTGGATAAACTTATACTTCATCATGAGGAATGAAAGTATTTCATTCCCAGGATAAACCTAGCTAGGCCTGCAAGTCTTACTTCAGCTTATCCTCAAGGCCAGATAATATAGTCCCCTCTTGATGGTAGAGGGTTCTGGGTAGCATTCCTGCTGGGGGTTTGCCAAGAAAAGATATAAAGAAATGAAGTTTGAAGCTGAGATTTGGCTTCTTGCCACCACCTAGTTAACATAGGATTAATATTTTCCTTTTCTACATAAAAAAGTAGTTTTCTAAGGGATCATAAATTTTTAAATAAGAGACTGTGATTTCTGATTTTTTTTTGTATAAATTCAAATTATTGGCTTCAGCTACCATTTCTAAACTCTGCCCTGCTTTGTACTTCCTCGGAACATTCAAACTTCAGAGCCCTTCATCTGTGAATTAATCATGTGCGGAGTATATGCAGTTGGAATTCAGCTATAAATATAAATGAAATTGCTCCAGCCATGGCTGGGTTCAAAAAAAACTAGAGTGATTGGGAGTTTTCAGTTAAAAAAAAAAAAAGAGAAATTTTAAGGAAGAAAAAAAGGAGTTAAGTTGAAAGGACCGATTATATATGATACAGTCTTTATGCATGAAAATATTGGGCTTGTATGGTATATATACTTTATTCCTAAGATTCTGCAAGTCAGCTTATAAGCTTTACTGTCAAGGTGGAAAGAACTGAATGGTGTTTACCAGACTGCAGAGTAGCTCTCTCACTCGACCTGAGGACATGTGAAAGGGAGCCGGGGCCATTAATCACTGCAGAGGATGAGCACACAATAGGTTGTAGAGCTTTTCCTGGTATGACTTGGCGGGAAGGTTCACCCAACTGGGGAACTGAGAAAGAGGAGACGGGGAGGGACAGAGATGGATGAACAAACAGCGCGTGCTTGCCCAAGAGCACATACCTTAGACTATGTTTTCCTCCCAGAAAAGTCTGTGGTCTGAATAGCTGAAAGGCACTTGCATGTACTATGGAATTCTCATCAGATCTAGCTGAAATGTCTTCCTTGATGATGAGGGAGTGGAAAGAATTGGAATCTGAGGTTGCAGTTCTGAGCATCAGTCTAGGTTGTAACACTCACTAGCTCTGGGGCTCCAGCAAGTTACCTAATGCTTTCTGCCGTTCGACTCCTTCATGTCTAAGACAAGAACCACCCCTTTTAAAGTTGCTGTGTCTCCACAGTGGAGATCAGCTGCTTTAATTCCAGACGTATATTGAATTCTTGCTTGCTATGTACTGTGATGCTGTATGAAGGGCTAAGGATACAAGGAACACTTACTTCCCTGTAACTGGAAATAAATAAGTCTTGGGGATGAAAAGTACAGCGTAGGGAATATGGTCAATAATATTGTAATAACTTTGTGTGGTAATGGATGGTGACCACACTTATCATGGTGAGCATTTTGCAATGTATATAATTGTTGAATCACCATGGCGTACACTTGAAACTATGTAGTAGTATATGTCAACTATACTTCCATAAGAAAAAACTTTAAATAATAAAGTAACATTTATTAATTTAGGCACTAAAAAAAGAAAGTGACTTAAGGAATTTATCTTCGACTAAGGAAGATAGACTAGGGAGCAATAAGAGGATACTGTGAGAAATAAAACAATAGAAATATGTTGAGAGGGCAGGGTTAGGGTCGGACAAAGCTGAGTAAGCCTGTAAGGCGTACTAACTCGGGCTGCAAATATACTAAACATTGGCTGCATCCCCCCCTCTCTCAGCATGGATCTAAGAGTCAACAAAGACTCACAGAGAGGGTCTGAGCACAATATTGGTTTCTGAATCAGAGTTCACTCAGGTGGGTATCAGAAAGAAAGCTTGGCATGAGCCATGGCCCTGGGACAATCAGAATGGAATGACTGGGTTGTCTCGCTGAAGCAAAGAGTCTGATGGGGGACACTTGATTGCCTTTCGAGGATCATGGGCTCCATCCTGGGGACCGTGAGCAGGGGAGAGACAGAGGCAGATGGAGCCCAGGACCCATTGCTTGGCAAAAAGGAGATCAATCCCCAGGGGGGCTGCATATCTCTTATTGTGCACTATTCAGGAGTGATTTTTCTCTTTTAGTTTTTCAGTTTTTCTTGTATATCAGCTGTATTGAGATATAACTCACGTATCATATAATTCACCTATTTAAAGTACACCATTATTTGGTTTTTACTATATTCATTGATCTGGACAACCATAACCACAATCCAATTTTAGAATACTTTTTTACCCCCAAAAGAAAGCCCATTGCCATTAGCAGTCACTTTCCTTACTTCCTTCCCCCAGCCCCTGACAACCACTAATCTACTTTCTGTCTCTATGGCTCTGTCTATTCTGAATATTTCATACATGGAATTACGCTACATGTGGGCTTTTATAACTGACTTCTTTCACTGAGCATAATGTCTTCAAGGTTCACCCATGTTATACTATGCATCAGTGCTACATTCCTTTTTATGACCAAATATTATTCCATTATGTGGCTACGCCCCATTCTATTGATCTACTCCTCAAGTGTTGGATATTTGGGTGTTTCCACTTTTGGCTATTATGAATAACACTATTACAAATACCCATGTACAAGTTTGTGTGTAGACATATGTTTCCATTTCTCTTGCGTAGATGATAGTAGTGGTATACTGAATTAATATGGTGATTCTATTTTTTTTTTAAGAGAGAGAGAGCATGTGTGCAAGCATGAGTGGGGGAGGGGGAGGGGCAGAGGGAGAGAGAGGAGGGAGAATCTTAAGCAGGCCCCACACCCAGTGTGGAGCCCAGTGCGGGGCTCGATCTCACAACCCCGAGATCATGGCCTGAGCTGAAATCAAGAGTTGGCCACTTAACCGACTGAGCCACACAGGCGCCCCATGGTGATTCTATTTTTAATCTTTTGAAATCCTTTTCTAACGTGATTGCACCATTTTCCCCTTTTTTTCTTAATGCCTGATATCTTTTCTATTATTTGTAACCATGCGAACTGGGGAAGAGAACCAGAGGAAGGAGATACAGCTCAAATTCAGTCTTGTTTTCACTTGATAGTCCAGGGAATGGGTGAGCTATTATTGGGATGGTGCTGCATAACAATCTAAAATCTCAGTGGCATACAATGACAAATATTTATTTCTTGCTCTACAAATCAGCTGTAACTCTGATGGCTTCTGCTAGGATTGATAGAGTTTGGCTGTAGTCTGTAGGTCAGATTCATTCAGGGGCTAATGGCCACTCAGTTCATATTCTTATTATGGCAGATGACAGAGATATAGGAGGGCATGTCAAGCCACTAATACTCCTTTGACCAAAACAAGTCGCACAGATAAGCCCAAAAGTCAATGGTTTAGGGAAGTTTGCTCTCCCTATTTTTTTTCTGGAAAGTTCTGCAGTGTCACATGGCAAAGTGTGTGTTTATATAATTCTCTTAAAAGGATGGAGTAAAGTGTTGGGAAGAATGATCTGATGATGAAGAATGATCCACAGTCAGTATGCAATTTACAATACTCTAAAACTGAGTTTTTCTAAGTCAAAATGGTAAGCGGGGAAATAGAAAAGGAAGAGAAATTTTTAAATTATGGCCTATTTAAAAAAAATTAAAATGTGAGAAAGTCATAGTAACTTAGAAGCTGTTCTTTGGAGATGTGCTTTCATGAAAAGGTGAAGATGTTTGTAATTAGCCCATTGATTTTTACATGCTCCATTTTAATGATCAAGGAGTCCTCAAATACTTGGTTACTTCATAGAATAATGAAATTTGTGGGTGAAAAGAGTCTTAAGGGACATCTTATTTTGTCTGTTGACTCACTAAAAAGTGCTGAAAGAAACCCTGGGCTCCAGAGTGGATGATACCCACTTCCTGAGGCAACTTGGTCCTCTGTAAGCCACCCCAGGTGATTCTCATAATTACTTACATTCTACTTATTTTCAAGACAGCCCTTGAAGTAGATGCTATTATCATCCCATTGTACAAACAAGGCAACAGACTTAGGAAGATCAAGGTCAAAGTCACAGCTATGGAATGGCATGTCAGGGATTTAAGCTTGGGACTCCAAAGCACACAGATCAGCCACAACCCCAGATGTTTCTGGAGAGAAAACGTCCTGCTTCTGTTGGTTCTGAATCTGCCTCTCTTAACCAGATTATTATTATTATTATTATTTTATTCATTTATCTTAGCTTTTCGTTATTTATTTTTAAGTAGGTAAAACATTCCTCCTATAATCTGGCTTATACTTTGAATCTGCCTTACCGATCCTTTCTTTATTCATCACAGTTATTATAAAAAAAAAAGCCTAAACTGCCATGTGAATTCACTTAGGTTTTGAATTGCTGCAGTCTGAATTGTTGGGGTTTAACCTACTGCCTACAAGATTTTGTACTTTATCAACAGGCTTCAGTTGTCCCTCTTTCTCCCCTTTTGCCAGAGCCTAAATGGAACACAGGTGACACGTCGAGCAGGAAGTTGTTTTATTTCGACATTAGTAAGGAATTTTCTTTTTCCAGATTAAGTGCTTGTTCTTGTGTCTTTATATCATTGGGTCCCTGGGAGGAAATGGGATTATCGGAAGGTGGCCAGAATGGTAACAGAGTGATGGTGGGAAGGGAAGAAGGAAAAAGCAAGGATGTACGGAAGGTTAATTGGCCTGAATATCCGGTATGGAAGGTGAATAGAAAAGAGAGAGTTAATAAGAGACGACTATTGGGATCGAAAGGTGGAATTATGAAAGAGAGGAGTTTTATTAGAAAGTCT